TTGGATGGCTTTCAACAGTTTGAATGGCTTCAATCTATGATATTAAACTTATCCAAATAATTGCATTTGGTTGCCATGATCGATATGTGTGAAATGCCAAAATACTTTTATTGTTTGCGTCTGTTTAAGACTATTGTGTTGTTAAGGGGCCAAAATATAAATACATGATATTAAAATTATTCAAATTTTTTGAACTTGATTGACGAGCTTACTATACATGAATAAGTTATGGTTGAAATGTATCCTATCAAATAACATATGGTTTTGTACAAGAGATTGAGATGGGCAGTAAAATTAGACGTGTGAAACTTTTTTGCTTAACACAAGAAAAAAAGATAAATCTTACATGAATGTTGAAACACAAGAAATTATAGTAATTTGTAACATCTATTTTAACAGAAAGTAAATATTTACTCTTTTTAACATATTAATCAATTAATCATTAAACTTGATAGTTGTATATGACTAATTTATAAGAGAAAGCAAAAGAAAAAATGACTGCTGGGATTGAAGTAGCATATGATGGTTCTCTTAACATGCAAAAATTGAAAAATCATATATTCATAGAAGTTGCTGGAAAAGAAAGGCATGAATGGGTCCGAGGCCTTGGATTGGGTCCAACACCATATATCTACTATGGACATAGGTCTTAGCAATTTACATTATTAGCAAGTTAGTCTTCGCGAGACATTTCAATATTGAGAGAGGAATTGCAAACTATAAAATAATGTTTCCAGTAAATGGAAGCAAAAAGAGAACAGGAATGTATCAAAATTGAGAAAGAACGTGCTAGAATAGAGCAAGAGCGTGTAAAATTTCAGTAGTTGTATAATCAATTCAATCATCTTATGAATTTTATACAACAGTAATTTTTAGGAACTTATCTCGGTGGTCCACCAACTCAGGTATTATATTTAGTAAATATTTATATTTTTTAATATAAAAAAAAGTTTACAATGAAGTGTTAAAACTTGTATACTATTATTCAGTAAGTTTTTGAGCACACTAGTGATTAAGGTAAAAAATTTATTTCATCAATTAGCAGCCTTCAAAATCTATGCAGTGTGCTTAAATATTAAACGTTACTAAAAACTTAAACCCCTGTAATGCAGTGTGCTTAAATATTTGTATGTAAATTGCTGATGACGAAATCGAAAAAATAAGGTGATCATCATTAAGAGTCTGCAATTTTCATGCATCTTGCAAAAAGATTAACAAAAAAAAATTCATCTTTGTCAATGAAACACAAGTTGTTCTAGTTATTACATTTTATAATAAGGGTCGGACACACAAAAGATGCTACTAGTCTTTGCTTAACCATTTCTAGTGCTCATATAAATTAATTCATAACCTTTCATATTTTATTATGACACACCATAATGATCCATACATAATTCTTATATGAAAAAATGACGGAAGTATTTCTAGCCAAAAAAATCTCGATCGAAACTTTTCGATTTCTCCCAAATCGATAACTATTTGGAGCCCCTTATTCACTTGTAATCCCTCTTACAAGGTAATTTGTTTATAAGGTAATAATAAATTAGAAAGGAAAAAAATATATTTCTAAGACAGCTTGGATATTTACCAAATTATACAGGGGAAAAACTGCAAAGACTAATTCACCCAAACTAGAAAACATCTCCGAAACATTCATTTTGTCAAATCTTGGACATTTTAGATATATTACATGCTTAATTATATATGGAAATCAAAGTAATATATTGGAAATATATTCCAATATGCATGTACATACATTTTCTAATGGAAAATCGATTAATTGGCAGCCCTGTGTATAAAAAGGAATGATCTTCAGGCTTGCTTATTGACTCACCCCACTCATTTCTTCTTTGAAGAGGTAAGTATATACAGCAAGCCACAAACTTTGACAAGATTGTTAGTTGTTTAATTCTCTTTAATTAAGCTTGATTTTTGTAGGTATAGAGACTTGTGAAAGTAATGAAAGGAATTTATAGTAGAGATGTTAATCAAGAAACACACAATGCTACTTTACGAATGTTTCCATCCAGCGCTGAGAATCAGGTTGGTCGAGGTCAAGGACAAGGAGTTGGAATGGACCCGAAGACGTTGAAAAGGTGAAAAATATATTGTATTTTTACTTAGGGAAAATTAATGATTTTTTTTTCAAAATTTAAAATTTTTAAAAGATAAATCTAATTTGTCTTATCCACTTAAAAGTTTCAAATATGTTTGTCAAAAAGAAAAGATTTATGAATGTAAAATATTTTTCATGCTTTTTTTTTCTTTTCCGACCACGTAGAGTTGCCGGAAGCCGCGAATATTCACGAAGGCATCGACTCAAACAGCTACAGTACATTGCACAACTGGAAAAAGAAGTAAGAGATCTCCAGGTGAACAAAATTCTACGTAAATAATTCATGCATTACTTTATGCTGTCATTGAGTTTTGACATCGAAAATCCAAATAAAAGGTTATAGCTTTTGAATGTGAACCGAATGTCTAGATCGGATGTGAGAAATAAAAGAGCCGTGTGAGATAAAAGAACAAGAGAGCTTCCAAATTTGCTCTGACGTTGTTTTTTCTACATTCAAAATTAATGAGGAAAATTCAGAATGAGTAGGGAAAGAATATATAATATCCATAGAAAGTTTTTTTTTTTAACCATAATTGACGTTTTATGTCAAAATAAATCAGAATATGGATAAGGTGTAATCTGGTCTTACTAGTTAGAGCTTCTGTATACAAAAAGGACTGGTCATGTTGCATGTAGCACATAGTATAGGGAAATGGCACCTGATCATGTTAAATTAGCAGGGAACTGTGGGAGGCTTCAAGCAATTTTACGTATTCTAATTTCTTTTCACATCAGATTAATTATAATAAAAAAAATCCTTAAAAATATCTTTAACCATGGCTATAGGCTGAAGTGGCAATCTCCTTCCCAAGGATCAAATGTGCTGATACTCAGAACTCATTGTTGCGAGCAGAGAATGGTTTCATGAAGCAAAAGCTGTCTGCGTTCTCTGGAGAACTTATTTTGAAAGAAGGTTTTCCCTTAAATATTTCTTTGTTTCTGATGAGTGTGAACAATGAGTCAAAAACTGATGTTGTTGTAATAACTTCTGCAGCTGAATATCATAAGCTAAAGAAGGAGAGGGATGCGCTGAAGCAAATGTCTATGCTGTACCTAGCACCATATGCAGAAATCTCCAAAACAAAGCACTACAGTTACCAGCTGGTCAATATCGCCTTAGATCAAACAGGATTCAATCAATTTAGAGAAGCACCGGTGGCACCAAATATGTCGAATCAAAACTTGGGTACCCGGTTTGGATCTGATGTCAACAACGGAAACGATCGTAATCCGATGTAAACTTCCATCTTCTATCGATACCTTTAATATCTTCCTGTTCTAATCTTTATTTTAGTGTTGGGTTTGTATCTTCAGTTTAATTTGCAAGGAATTTTCAGAACTTTTAAGTATTTTTCTCGGCCTTAAGTTGGAAGCTGGATTTAGTAAAAGGGAGAAATAATTCGGACGTGCTAATTAATATTAATTGAGTTTGACTTACGATTGGATTCTTCCTAAAAATAAATCGCCACTTATTTTTGTATTAAGGTGATTAAACATACGGGTTTAAATTCATCATAAAATTCAGAATAAGATAGGATCGGTAAATTTAGTTGTGGTTTGAAAAGGAAGGATTTCATCAATAACAATTGTATGAATATTCAAGTCAAAATACTCTCTTTTATTTTTATTTTTTAAAATTAAGATGGATTAAGAAATTTAAAAAAATCTTACATTGTTAATTAGGATATCGTTCTGGGGCATGGGAGCTTAATATAAAGCTGAAATGCTTTTGAAGAAGGAAAAAACTAAGAAATTAAAGCAAATATCTATAAATAATTTGGAGTATATTTTTCCTGAGAGAGACCTGGGGTTTATTTAGATGTATTTGATTACTGTAGTTGTGTGAAATGCAGTGTACTATAATTTATGAGCAAGAGAGCGCTGCAGATAGAGCCTTGAACTATACTGAAAACTTCCTAGTCCTAAACCACCCGATCTTAGTAAGAATTGCTGGTGTCTCTATGAAATAATTTTTTTGTCCTCCAATTTGTCTCTTACAAGTTTGCTACTCTCAGCTATAGTATATCAAACTAGAGCTCTTTTTATTTTTATTTTTTGGGAGAGACAAACGGAGGTCTCTATAGTACCTGCATGTGAAGAACATCAAAACAGGACAGGAAAATTTCTATATTTGATGTGCTTATTGAGACTTGAGAAGCTTAAATCAGTGCAACAGTAGCCACCTACCATTCTCTCCCACTAGTTCAAGTTTTTAACCCAAGGCAGGATATACATTTCTGTCTTTGAGCTCATTTATACATTCAGAGAATACATTTCTGCCATATACAATATACTGCATGAGAATTTGTACCCCTTTTTATGCGGATCAAACCAATATTCCAGAATGAGTATTTTTGTCCTTTCTCTACCCATCACATTTGCATTCTGGATAATACATCATACATGCATGTCATGACAACATCATGCCATGCACAAGGCAAAGGCATTCTACCATCATCCATGATTAATAGATAAATATTTACTGGACATAGCCCAAGAAACATTATGGATCCAGCAAAACAAAAGCTAGTCCTGGCTCTAGTTTTTGCTTCCGCAACCCTGTCCAAAATGATAGCATCAAAGACCCAAAATCCCACTATTGACCCATCTCTCTGGGGTTCATTCAATTGGGTGGGTTGAGGTCCTTTGGGAGAAAAAGTTAGGAAAGAGATGGGCCCTGATTATGGCCGTGTGGTTTATATTGGATTTTGAATGGTCCCAAGCAGGCCATAATCAGGCTAAGTTTTATAAAAGAGGTGAAATAACCGAAAAGGACTCCTCGACCTCTAGTCCAAACGGAAGGCCACAAAAGGCAAAACGCAGAGGCAAATCCATAAATAAAATAATAAGCGATGCTTACTAAAATTTGCTGAGAAGTCTTCGTTCGGACACGTCTACAGTGTAAACTCAAAAACTTATTCGACAAGGCCATCTTTGTAGTTGTCTTGTGGGAGTTGGTGAGGCAAGCTTCAACCTTCAACCTTCAACCTTTAACCTTCAAAAACACTGCCATTTTGACACACCATCACCACCCAATTCCCAAGCCTTTTTTCTTCGTCATAAAATTTTTCCCTTTAATTGAACTCCAAGAATCTTTTTATTTTTCCCCCGTGTTTCCCTTTTCATGGATTCCCTTTTTGTCGTTGTTTGCCCTTCAGGAAACCGTGAGAAAATAAAAGAAAAGAGCGATACTTTGGACTCCAGTAGGGAACACTCAAGTATCATTTGACTCATATTAGGCGTGGGTTTTCCTTTATTTTGTGAGAACTGAAGCTAGTTTGTGTTTCTTTTTCCCTTTAATTCTCTTGGAAACCAAACGCTACACATACCCAACAAATGGAAATGGTTTTTGCTTGTCGGTTCACGCCGTTGACTGAATTATCTTTGCATTTTCAACGGCACCGCTTTCTGGCTTCGCAATTTTATCAGACTTTCTTCTGGAAACATAGTCTGAGAAGAATTTCAACCAGGATCTGCAACCACCAAAATTCAAGCTTTGTTCTTAGGAAAAGACAACCAAAAACAAGAGAATACAGGCTGTTCAAATCGGTGGAATTGGACCAATTTTTAACGAGTGACGATGAAGATGAAATGGGTGAAGGCTTTTTTGAGGCAATTGAAGAGTTAGAGAGAATGACTAGGGAACCCTCTGATATTCTTGAAGAAATGAATGATAGGTTGTCATCAAGAGAGTTACAGTTAGTTTTAGTTTACTTTTCTCAAGAAGGAAGAGACTCTTGGTGTGCACTTGAAGTCTTTGAGTGGCTCAAAAAGGAGAATAAGGTTGATAGTGAGACAATGGAACTTATGGTTTCAATTATGTGTAGTTGGGTCAAGAAGCTGATTGAAGGAGAGGGTGATGTTGGTGATGTGGTTGATCTCCTTGTGGACATGGATTGTGTGGGGTTGAAGCCGGGTTTTAGTATGATTGAGAAGGTGATTTCGATGTATTGCGAGAGGGAGAAGAAGGAGGGAGCAGTTATGTTTGTGAAGGAAGTTTTAAGACGGGGAATTTCATATGAAGATGATGATGGAGAAGGACAGAAAGGAGGACCAACTGGTTATCTGGCTTGGAAGATGATGGTATGTTTATTTAAGCTCTGATTATTATTATCCAGATATATTAGTTTGAATGTTAGAGATTGAATAATTTTTCTTTTAGTGTAATAGAGAATTGGTTGAGTCAAATTTGCATGTTATTTGCTGATTGAATTTTTTTTTTCATTCTTAATATTGCTAACAACTTGGTCATTTTTCCTTCTTATTCTTGGAATTAATGATCACTACTTTTTATTCTTAATAATCAATTGTTAGTATTTCTTGTTTTTGTTTGTTGCCTCTAGGGTTCATTACTTTCTTGACTGTTTATCAGGTTAGGAAGTGCAACTATACTTTGATCGCTCTGTTATACTTGGTCAGAACATTATGCTTTTATGTGCAGAAAGCATACAGTTTTATGTTGTATCTTTCTTTTGCTGATTGTCTGTAAGGTGGTTTCTTAATTGGCGTTGTCATTCTTCATTATAATCTGCAGTGATAACAAATTCTTAATTTTTCTTACAGTTTATTGCTATTCCAGATTATATATTTCTGACCTGTCTCAATAATCAATTTACCTATGTTTTGCCAGGTTGAGGGTAACTACAGGGATGCCACCAAATTGGTGATTGACCTTAGAGAATCTGGGTTGAGGCCTGAGATTTACAGCTACCTCATAGCAATGACAGCAATAGTCAAAGAGCTTAATGAATTTGCAAAAGCCTTGCGGAAGTTGAAGGGTTTTGTTAGGTCTGGTTTGGTTGCTGAACTTGATATGGAAAATATAGAGCTTATAGAAAAGTATCAATCTGATCTCCTTGCTGATGGACTAAGATTGTCTAATTGGGCAAGTCAAGAAGGAAGTTCTTCACTTTATGGGTTGATTCATGAGAGGCTTCTTGCCATGTATATTTGTGCTGGTCGTGGAGTTGAGGCCGAAAGACAGTTGTGGGAAATGAAGCTTGTCGGTAAAGAGGCTGATGGGGACCTTTATGACATCGTTTTAGCTATTTGTGCTTCCCAAAAGGAGGCTAGTGCCATATCACGGTTGCTTACTAGATTGGAGGTTTCAAGCTCTCTGCGTAGGAGGAAAACTTTATCATGGTTATTGAGAGGTTACATCAAAGGAGGGCATATTGTTGATGCTGCAGAAACGGTGGTTAAAATGCTTGATTTGGGCTTATATCCAGAATATTTAGACAGGGCTGCTGTTCTGCAGGAACTGAGGAAAAAGATCCAACAGCCAGGAAACACCCAAGCTTATATTAATCTCTGCAAGCGACTGTATGATGCGAGTTTGATTGGACCTTGCATTCTATATCTGTATATAAAGAAATATAAGCTTTGGGTTATAAAAATGCTTTAAAAACTGATGAATGGAAAGGAAAATCTTGAGCCCAGATTTTTTTTTAGAAGTATACTTTCTGGGTGAAGAATTCATCGGAGAAGCTTAGGAGTTTTATAAACCTGAATCTTGTATGGTTTAAGATGGCCCTAGAGCAGTAAAAGGATAGTCAGTAGAGGATATGCAGACCAACTGTGAACGCTGGAAATACATGGTGAGCATTTTGTTCTTTGGGTCATTTAAATACTTGTACACACTGTGGCTACTGTGTAAATGAATAATGAATGTTCCTCCATTTGTAACTAATAGGACTCCAAATCTGTACTACAGGTATGTTCTTGCATTATTCTTCTCCTCTTCCTTTCATCCCTGGAATATATCATATTTGCATTAAGCTTCATGTACATATTTTGCTAGTGCCACACATGTTGTAATCAACTTTATTTCCAATCTGGAATGATGGGCTTACCTAGCATCCGGCTGCTGGGTGACCATGGTAATTAGAAGGACTATGAAAAAAATAATAATAGACCAAGAGCGCACGAATATATGAGCCTTCAAACTAATAAAATATAGTGGTGAAATAGAGCGAGTGCCAGGCAGCCTATCCACCATCTTCCTGGAATGTAGTTTTAAGCGATAGAATCAGGTCTACTTGATACTGGCAAGAGACGTAGGTTAAAGGGTTAACACTGTTGTAACTTACGATTTTTCAGGACTTCGTCTTATCTCTCTTTGTTGATCTTGTACATGAAAAACGTTAAAAAAGGTCTAAATCTCTCTTTGTAACTGTAATTTTTTGTTCTTAATTTTCTTCCTCCATGTTTGGCCAAAAAAAAATCTTCCTCCATATCTCTCCTTCCTTTCTTTATCCTTCATGAAATTCAAATGATATTGCCCCAGTATATTTCGAACAGCTCCCCAAGGCCACCTGTCACACCCCAAGATGTCAGGTTAAAATGAAGTAAAACCTTAAAAATAATACAAAATCTTTTTTTTTAATCATTTTAAAATTTTTTAATAAACTGATATAATTTATCAATTAAAATTTATATCTTAAATTTAATTAATGATACATCTTTATAAACATAATATAAATCATACAAAAATACAAAATTATTTTATAAGATTTCATTGGCCAACATTGTCTCTGACGACTAAGTAATCTTTTTCATTTGATCTTTTAGCTTTTCACAAAATTAAGCAAACTTATCATTTACTCAAATGTAAAAAAAAATAAAATAAAAGGAGAATGAGTAAACCACAGCCTAGCAAATATAGGTTTACACATCTTATCGAATCAAGCATCGTTTTCATACATATTATATAGATCATTTAAAATATTCATCAAATCATAATGTCAAAACATTTTCAAAATTATTAGTATCAAACATTTCATAGATCATAAATCAATATTAAAACATGTCAATTTATAAATCATTACAAAATATGCTGCCATTCAAATATCATAATCAAATTAAATCATGGATCAATCATTAAAATCATCATAAATCATTAGTTTATCGTTAGTTTTTCATTAGTTACATCACTGCTATAACCCGTGATATTAGTCATATCGACAATTTTATCCTTATAATCATTACAAACTATTATATCTCGCTCGCCAAGGCCTTACATTAACTATTATAATTCGTTAATATGATCATATGATCATGTCTATACTAATTACTATTACTCGTTGGCCAAAATCATAAAACTAGTTCTGGTGTCGATGATTCCACTTCAAAGAAATGTAAAAATGTAACTATCATAAAATTATTTTTTTAACATAAATCATTTTTTATTTCATTCATAAGTATGATCCATCATTTATATAACAAAAACATAAAATAATCATATGCTTGATCCTATTTTCATATATTGAAAATAAAGAAATAAAATATTTACTCATTTAGAAACATATATATATTAAAAAATAAATAAAATATATGAGATTCTACTTATCTGATTTCGATTCCATCATTTAGTTTTGCTCTCAAAATAATTAATGACCTATTCAAGATAATTTCAACATAATAAAAATTAATCAACCCATTTTGAGACCAATGATACTAAAACAATTAATTTAAGCAAGGTTTAATTCAATTAATTAATATTGATGGTCTGAGCTCCTTTTATTAAAACAACCATATCTCAAGATTTTCAACTCATAATTAAGATCTTTTTGTATGTTAAAAACTTGACTCAATAAACTTTTTAACCATATATGGCATATCTCGTAATTTCTCATAGATTAATTATAATAATTTTTGCAATCCATGTCATATGATGCTGTTAGATAGTATGTATACATTTTAATAAAAATTATACATTTATTCATAGGAAACTCAAAATTTAATTCTGCTTATTTCGTTGAAAAGTATACTCAATATGCTTTCCAAACATATATGACTTAATTTGTAATTCATTATATAAAAATTAAGAAGAATTTCTTAATTCCTCTCCGCTACAACTATTAGGCAACTTGCACATCATTAAATAAAAATTAAACTACTCTTCATAAAAAACTCAGAATTGATTCCCGTTTATTTCAATGGAAAGTAAATTCAGCAAGCTTTCCAATGACATATAATAATCATAACAGTATTTTATCTCTTAAATTAAAATATTATCTTAATCCATCACTGCAAACACTAAGGTTTATACTAAACAAAAATTTGATGGAAACAAAAAATTTTCTTTCTAACTCCATCAAATTTCTATTTCCTATTTTTACAATAATAAAGTCACATTATTAAACTCTCCCAACACTTTATTAGACCCTAATTGAAGTCTAAATAATTTGCCCAAACTAATCTTGCATAAGGATAATAGATTTCCTAAAATTTTAGGATTTTTTGATTATAAGTTAAACCTTAAGATTTAACAATCAATACTATTTCTCTAAATTGAAAAAAATTATTTACTCACATTTGAAAGACAACTCTTCTTGTAGACTTTATTCTTACCTTCACTTAAAATCTTTTGATTTGTCTGTTTATATAAAAAATAGAGGAGAATAAGCCTTTTTTTTTTTCTCAATCAATTGTCGACCAAATAAGTGGAAGATACTAATCCTATTAGAAGTTGGTTATTTTATCAATAGGTCTTATGTATTTCTTATTTTTTATTAAAGAGTTTCTTTACTTATAAAAATACTTAAAATAAATTTTTTTTTTTTTTACGGGTATTACACTACTTGACTTGATGCTTAATAAGAATGCAAGAGAAATAGAAAAATTATGGGGTAAGACTGATCTTATTAAGTTAGATGGTTTGAAATGTTCTAATACGGAATGATAAAGGAAAAAGGGAAGAGAATCAACATTTATTCATCTCGCAAGTTGCTACATTAATGGAATGTATACAACCCGCTTTGGCATATGAATGAACAAATGAGGAAAAGGAAAGGTAAGAAACAACGAAAAGTATGGAGAAGGAGCAGCAAACCAAGGCCCAATAACTCTTCCTGTCTCAATTATATACAACAATTCATTTCTCTTACCAGGTATTAGATTAGAGAAAGAAGAATCTACCCGCAACTCCACCGCCTCGGAGCCCAACAATAAAAACAGGGAAAAGAGTACGCAAATTTATTAACGTTTCAACTTCATGGATCAACTTGCTTCAGCAGACAAGATTTCAAGCTCAGCCCACCAAAGGGGGGATAGTTTTGGAGTTGCCCCATCAGGATCTATTGCTGTGATCTCTTTTAACTTAGATGCAATTTCTTTCATTGTTGGTCTTTCTTTTGGATCGGGATGAACACAAGTTTTAATCACTTCAAACAACTTCTCTAGTTCATCTTCTTGGAAAAATTTAAGAGTTGGATCCACCATTTCTTTCAAGGGTTTGTCCCTTTTCAAATAATCTGATGCCCAGTCTGCAAGAGAAGCATTGCCTACAGAATATGGGATCCTACCTGTTATCATTTCAAACAATATTACGCCAAAGCTGTAAACATTGCTCTCTGCATCTGCTGACGGGGATTGTAAGAGCTCCTTGGTAGCTGATTCCACCTTGGCTGCAGTGGCATTATTCAAGAGGCTGAAATCAGATATTTTGGCAGCATAGTCTTCAGTCAGATATACAGAGCAAGACTTCAGGTTTCTATGGGCTATAGGAGGATTTTGCTGATGCATGTGCTCAAGGCAGTATGCTATTCCCATGGCTATTCTCAGTCGCATTCCCCTGTCCAAGTGCTCGGCCTCTTGTACTGCAAGAAATCCAGAATTCAGTATCATCCAAGCCATATATCAATTCATTTGGCATCATTTAATAAACACTTGCTTATGCTACAGATTAAAAAGTTGAAGGACTTACTATGTAGATGCTCAAAGAGTGTTCCATTAGGAGCATACTCGAAAACCATCATTCTTGTGAAAGGCACATTTTCTTCACAATAGCCGATAAGGTTCACCAAATTCTTGTGGTTCACTTTAGACAATGTTTCTATCTGAAGGAATGAATAAATTGATGCTCAGAGATGGTCTAAAAAGTCTTTAAGAATGTGGTGATTTATGATATTGCAGTACCTTCTTTCTAAATTGTGTTTCTAAATTCTTTGACCAGTCTTCACGAGATGCAACTGCAGTCGATGTCAAAGCTATTTCAACCCCACTTGATAAAGTCCCCTTATAAACGGTGCCATCAGAAAAGGTGCCAATTATATTGCTGAAATCCTCACAAGCGGCTTCAAGTTCTGATCGCTTGAGCTGTGGTACACCTGAAATGCAGACACCAAAATAAGAGAGGTCGAAAAACTCCATCTTTGTTTCACCAAGTATAAATTTTAATCCAAAGTTTGAGTTGCACAAGACTTCTATATAAATTGCCTAAAAGAATACTTTTTGGGCTGCATAAAGGTTCAGCAATTTTAACTGGGTCCACAGACACTTAGAACTGCATGGAGAGTATTCTGTAACAATGGAAACATACCAGTTACAAATGCCTTCTGCAGCTGCCCACTTAATCCTGTGGCCCAAGGTTTGACAGTAACCACCTTACTTCTTCGGAAGAGGAAAATGCTCAGGACCGAAATCAACACAAACAAGGAACCCCCGATACTTCCAACCAAAATTAGAATCATATGATGTTTTGAGTGAGCACTCTCATCTTCTATTAGGTTTGGAGTTGAAGCAGGGGAATTGGTTGGGACACTGTGTGTAAGTGGTGGTTCAGAGGTAAATACTGGTGGATCTACGGGAGGTTGTGAACCTGGAGTCGGTGCTAATGTAGGTGAAGGTGAAGGTGAAGGCGCTAAAAAGATACTGGAAGGGGATGCTGATGGAGACAAAAATGTTGAACCCAATGGAGATAGAGATGGAGACAACGGTGATGATGAAGGTGAAAATGGGGATTCTGACGGTGAAGATAGATGATTAGGTGCAAGTGAAGGCGATGATGACAGTTGAGAAACTCTTTCATTGGATTTGAGTGCATTTGAGGGATCTACCACCTGCTGCAGCCGCCTCCTGTGAGCTACATCTCCTGGCTGGGCAATGTTCCTAAGAATGACATGTCATGAAGCATATACTCAGAAACAAAGTTTATGCGCAGCAAGACTGTAATTTCATTCAAGCTAATTTCTAAGTCCCTTAAATAGTCGCATTTAGAACATTAAGATCTTCCTTCTCTGACACAGTTTTTAGATGGATGCATCAAAAAACCACTCAAAGGAAAAGGAGATGTTATGTCGGTTTTGATTGCTTACCATGGAAAACCTCCGCTTTTACAGGACGGCCTAGTAGCAGCATTGGTTAGCTGATTCTCGTCTTCTTGAAATTCAGAAAGCATCTTAACCTCATATAATTCAGGTGACATGCTGCCAAGAAACTCATTGTTGTCGAGCAAACTGCATTAAGAAGAAATAAAAAAAAGAAAAGCTAAATAAAAGCTCCAATAAGATAAATCTAAATATAAACAACTTGAAAAGAGGATCTTACAGTGTTGTCAGGGAAAGATTATCGCCAAAATGAGATGGAAATGGTCCACTAAAGTTATTGTATCCAAAATCCAACACCTCCAGCTCCTTCAATTCCCCAATTTCCTCAGGAATGTTTCCAGAGAAAGAATTGTTGCGCAATATACTGCGATGGAGCAACATCGAAAGCAGCACTAAGAAAATGAGTGACATAAAGGAGATTTATCAAACTATAAATCAACCAATGATGGACTTACATAGATTTTAAATACCCCAGCTTCCCAACTTCGGGTCCCAAGGTCCCAACAAGGCAAAGATCTTTCAGATTTCTGCAAGGAGCATAGATCTGACTTCAGTGTTACCATCTAATTAACTACATATTTGGAATCACTTCACTAATACAGTGAAAACCATGGTACATCTACAGAAAAACCATAGAGTGAAAAGCAATGAAACTGCAACAAGAAGTAAATTATTTTCAAATACCTAAAATAAAAACATCACATGTAGCATTAAACCTTGGGTTATCTTATCAATATCAAGCTTTATATCAAAATTTAAATTCTCCATAAACAACTACAACATCAGACAACAACCAAACCCCTCTATATCCCTTCAGAGAAAATCAATCTGACAAAGACTTCATTTTTAATTTCAAGAGCCGAATTCAGCAATTAACCCTGGGTGCCTTAAAATTGTTAAGCAGCATACCATGACTGGAATCTAACATGACCAACTACCTACCATATACAAAAGGGATTCCCAATATTTTCATATAAAAACAATCTCCCTCTAAATCCTAACTGAATTTGGATCTAAATTTGCGAGATATACAATGAAAGCCCATACATTAAAACGAGACTGTAAACTGCTGCACTCTAATAACGTTTACAAACCGAACAAACTTCATTTTAGGACAGCATAGTTTCAAAGTCCGATGGCAGACAATACGTCCAGAATATTATAACCAGCGAGATAAAAGATAATAATAATAGGGCCTCTAATTGTACAATTATATGACAAATTTGAAACTATTTCTTTCTTGATTTCAGAGAAGAACACTTTAAACAAATAAAAACAAAGAGTTAACAATTTGCAAGAAGAGAAACTCACAAAGAGATTACTTTTCCATCGGAGCACTCGACCCCGAACCAAGAACACGGATCAATCTCTCCATCATTTTCCTTCCAGTTTGATAAAGCACCAAAAGGGTCGCTCACCACCCTATCTCTGAGCCTCAACAAAGCCAAACCTACACCATTTTTGCACACATATATATTCTCGTAAAAAAGTATAAAGAAACTCTCTTCAAGGCTTCAAGAAATTGTACGGACATGCAAAGCTAACCATTATATATACCTTCACTATTCAAAGACAAGGAAAAGCTCATATTCTGATCAAACAGTGATAAAACCAGCATTAACATCATCATCACCATCATCCTGAACTTGAACCGCTTGAATCCCCACCGTCCATCCATCTCCAACAAGAAGACTTTCTAGCTTCTTCTATCAAGTTGAGAAGATCACAGAGACGCAAATGTATTGCAGAAATAAAGAAAAAATAAAGAATGTAAGAGAGCTTCTTGGCATCTACTAACTGCTATAGGCTGCTAGGAAATTTGGACAAGAAGAGAAGAAAGCGGTGTACATAGCGGTGATAAATTATTTTTTATAAAAGGAAAGTACTTTCTGTAAGTTAAAACCGACTGAACTTTTTTAAGAATAAATGAAAAAGGGACCAAGATACGGACACAGTACGCACGGCTTTTAACAGTCAGACAAATAAAACATAAAATGTAATTTGGGTTCCGAATCTGGGTTTGGTCTTCTTCGGCGATTTCACTATCGTTGCTGGTCTGATTTGTTTGCTTGCCGGTGGATTGACCCGCTCCTTCCTTTCTACATTTATAGCGCCGTCCTATGAAATCCCCCACGTGCTTCTCACATGCTAATATTCTTTTTATTAAGTCCTAGTTAAATAATTTCTTGTTTTCCTAACTTAAATTTTTCTGAAAAAAATAAAACTTACTGTAATCAGTTTTGAAGATTAAAAAAGCTGGTAGAAAATGTTGGAGGATTTACTAAAGGCGACATCTCAACTATGGCTTGAATCCAAAGGCTTGTGGTACATTCGTACGTATGGGGTTCGTGAAACCGAATCTTTGCCGTTCATTTGATTGGCACGGCACAGGGTGGTTGATATGTAAAGATTTTTGTCTTGATTTGATATGAAAGTTTCAAGGTTTTATCTTAAAAGGGAGACTTATATATCATAATAAAATTTTAGATTTAGATATCTATATAAATATATTATAATAAAATTTTAGATTATTCCGTCAAATTTAACATCAGATTATCTTGTTAAACTCAAAATAAAATATATAAATCTATCGAATTACATCAAATATTAAGCAAATCCAACATAAAACACGTACAAATCACATGATCACATTGATATTGAGATTTTAGAGGTGACTCCCAACATGTACTTAGTTTTCATAGGATTCTAAAAATGGTTTTCACCACTGAATCACATCAAACGTTAAGTAAGAGCAACATAAAGCATATATAAATCACAAGATCACACTAAAAAAAGAGTCATAAATTTATATTTAGATCTCTACATATATATCATAGTAAAACTTCAGATTATCCCGTCAAACACAACATCAAATTATCTCATCAAACTTAATATAAAGCATACAAATCTATCAAATCATACCAAACATTAGGTAAACCCAACATAAAGCACATACAGATCATAAGATCTACCGATGTTGGGATTCTAGAGGTAGCTTCATCGTGTATTTAGCTTCCACATGATTCTAAAAATGGTTCCCACTACAGACCAAATTTTGTAGAGACTCACACCCAACTTGTGAGGTATTTATATGCTTTGACCCGAAGACCTTATGATTTTATCTTATAAAAGGACTCTCACAAGTACATTAGGCAAACCCAACATAAAGCACATACAAATCACAAGATCACACCGATATTGAGATTTTAAAGGTAGCTCCCATCGTATACTTAGCTTCCGCAAGATTCTAAATGGTTCCCACCATCGATCAAATTTTTGTGAAAACTCGTACCCAACTTGCGAGGTATTGTCTGCTTTGACCCGAAGGTTTCACGGTTTTATCTCACAAAAAAGACCTTACAAGTTTGGGTTTAAATCTCTACATATATATCATTTTTTATCCATGCATTCTTTTAACATAAGATTGAAAGTATTACAATCTCTCCACCTTACATTTAGAACAAATGTTTGTAAAGACTTGCACTCAACTTATTATTCGCTTTGATCCGAAAGTCTTACAAATTCATTAGAATTTGGGGCATTACAATCTGTTCACCTTTTCAATATAGGATTGAGGGCATTACAATCTTTTCACCTTTAAAGCTTGATGTTCTTGTCAAGCCAAGTTCAGTTACAGGACCAAGATCACACCAGACATTAGGATCTACACATTCTTTCAATCGGAGGCATTACAATGACGTTCCTGTCAAGCCAAGTCCAACCACAAGACCAAGATCACACCAGACGTTAGGATCTACACATTCTTCCAATCCCATTAGAGGCATTACAATCTCTTCACATTTTCAATTAAAGCATTACAATTTCTCCACCTTTCTAATGTGGGATTGGGGCATTACAATCTCTCAACTTTTAAAGCTTGATGTCCTTGTCAAGTCGAGTCCAACCAAAGATCACATCAAACATTAGAATCCTAGAGGATTCCTTATCATTCCTTATCCACACATTCTTTCAATGTAAGATTAGGGATATTACAATTTTCTCACCTTTAGACCAAATGTTTGTGGAGACCCACACCCAACCTATAAAGTATTGTTTACTTTGAACCAAAAGTCTCACTGTTTTATCCTATAAAAGACGTCTCATAAGTTTGGGTTTAGATATATATATAATTCTTTATTTACACATTCTTCTAATGTGGATTGGGAGTATTATAATCTCTTCACCTTTAAAGCTCAACATCTCTATCAAGTTGAGTCCAACTACAGGACCAAGATCACACCAGATATTAGGATCCTAAATGTGGCTCTTTACCGTGTAGTATTTAGTGACTCCTATGATGTGACACTTAGTTCCCGTCGACTGGTGATTGTTCTAATACTATTTGTGGAAACCCACACTCAACCTACGAGGTATTATCCGCTTTGACCTTGAAGTCTCACAGTTTTATCTCACAAAAGGCACCTCACAAATTTGGGTTTAGATATCTAAATATATATAATTCTTTATTCACACATTCCTTCAATGTGAGATTAGGGACATTACAATGTTAGGCCAAACATTAGGTAAGAGCAACATAAAGTATATATAGATCATAAGATCACATCAAAAGTTAAGATTCTAGAAATGACTCGTATTGTGTAGCACTCAACTCATGCAGAATTTTAAAGATGACTCTTTACCGTATAACACTATAGCACTTAACTCATGTAGAATTCTAGAGTTGACTTCTATTGTATAACACTTAGCTCTCGTTTGATTGGTAACTGTTTTGATACCATTTATAAAAATTTACACCTAACTTACGAGATATTATTCGTTTTGACCCGAATGACTTAAAGTTTTATCTTACAAAATGGCCTCACAGATTAGGATTTAAGCCTTAACTTATATATCAGTGTAAATCTTCAGAATATCCTGATAGAAATTTGGATGTCACAAACTCTCCCATTACCTATCGAATCACATCGAACGTTGGGTAAGCCCAACACAAAGCACACACAAATCACAAGATCACACAAGATGTTAAGATTTTAGAGGTGACTCCCACTATATAGTACTTGGCTCTCACAAGATTTTAAAGGTAGCTCCCATAGTATAACACTTAACTTTGTCCGATTGATGATTATTTTAATATCATTTATAGAGATCTACCACCTAACAGGTATTGTCCGCTTTGATAAAAAAATTTTACGATTTTATTTTATAAAAGATGCCTTATAAATTTAAATTTAGATCTTTACTTATTTATTATAACATAATTTCAAATTATTTGAAATTGAAACGTCATGCATTTGATAGCATATATTATAACATAACTTCAAATTATCTAAAATTGAACCGTCATGCATTTGATAGCAGTGACTTCCATTTGATATTAAAGTTTTCTTTTTTGTTTCTATATAAAATGAGCAATGTTATGTGATTGCAAAAAAATGAGCAATGGGTTTTCTTTTCTTTTTCCAATGATTGAAGAATAATAAGTAATATTTTTTTCCTAATGGGTTGGGGTCAATAAATAATTTCAAAGATCATCGATCATAAAATGTGCACAAGAAGAAAAGCAAATACTCTGTTCAGAAAAAAAAAAAAAAAGGGTAAATACCTACAACTTTTCAGTGTTTGAGTTTTTTTGAACTCGGTATAGGAACTCGGTTTCGTAGTAGTAGACTTTTATTAGATCAAATATGGTTTAAATCATAGTGAATTTCCATGAAACAGAACTCATGAGGAGAAAGCTTTTGACACCTTCTGCTAAGCTCCTCAATATAAAATAAAGAGGGTTGTTCTTCATGTAAAATACAATGGGTTTGAGGCAATCTAACAATCCTCAAATTAATCTGTTTTAACAATCTGCATCATTTGTTTTTTACTGTCTAATTAACTTATGCCACATGTCTTTAACTAATTAGCTACAAGAGAAATCCCCAACATAACCTATACAAAATTATTAAAGCTTACTCCAATTTTCTTTGCCGTCTTCTGACTGGTTTTGGTGTTTACAAAACTCTAACCCAAAATCCAGGAATGTAGAACCCACGCTCGGCTGTCTGAAATCTATACCAACTTCATTGACCCTGATCTCATGACTGGTACAAGGGGCCAACCAGAGTGGATAAGGTAAAATGCCAACTTCACTTGCATTTCAACGTGTCTGTCAGCTGTTGAAATGGTCAGTTTCATCGCAAGCCCAAACCAGCTGTTCAATTCTGGCCTGCACAGGACAAGCCGTTAGAAGATAAATTGGGATCAATAATTCAATAAAAGTTTTCAAGTATTGCAAGGTGGTGGGCCATCAAATAATAGAATTAATTAGTATATAATTTTTTAACCCCTCTTGTATATTGCCTGGTAGATAAAATAAAATAATCAACTCTCAAAATAGATGAAAAGCAGAAAAAAAAAAAAAAGAAAAGAAGAGTAAACAGTACGATACCCACATTTGTAGAGTATATATAGGTTTGATAATAATTTAATGCTACATGATGGAATTGTGATCGGAGTGTGGAGAACATGACTTTGAAGGTAAGTTCCAGAGGTTGGGAAGGGGTATAATTTTCATAGTAAGAAAAGATGAGAGATAATGATGTGTAAGCTTCTACGAATATGATTTTTGAAGGCTCGGTGTACTTTGTAACTGTTGCAAATGCGTTTTTTGATTTCTGATAAATGCATCCCTTACCGAGTAGATCATCAATCACAGTTAGTAGGCAAGCTTCTTAAGGCACAATGACCCCCAAACTTTAGTTACTTTTTATTTGGAATTTGGAAAGAGCAGCTTTATCTTCAGGAATATGACGTGATTTAAGGACAGTAAAATGAAACTTCTACTATGAAACATAAAAAATGGTGGAAGTGAGTTCTTTTATTAGGTTTTTAGCTAAAAATGTGCATATGTCTTTAATTTGTGCTAAGATTTGAAACGATTACTTTGCATATTCTATGGTTAGGAATTAGGAGAAAGTTGAAAAGAAAAAACGGCTACCTTTTCCGATGTAATTTTGGTTTTCAATGGCTTAACCTTTACGTAAACTTTGGGAAAGTTAACAAAAATAACTCCAAGATTCTATATGTTCCTTGGAGAATGAAAACAAGCAATTTGGTGCACCAACCACTGTGGATGACTCTTAAATGGCCAAGAAATTGACAGTCCACCGTCCAAAAGCCAAGAACAAT